TATGTAAACGATTTTCTTAGTAAACGTATTAATGTTACTGATCGTGCAAGAAGTTTAGATGATGATTTTGATCTCGTTATTGATGTAAAGGCTGAATCATTTGAAAAAGGTTCAAATGGCCTTGCATTTGCACGTTCTACATACAATCATCCCACAACTGGCAGACCGACACATGGGGAAATTACACTTAATTCAAATAAGATACCATTTGAGGCACAAACACTAGAATCGGGTGATAGACAATTCATTTTAACGGTTATTCACGAATTAAATCACATTCTGTCATTCAGTAGCTCGTTATTTAATAAATGGCAACCTTATGGAGAAACAGCCACAATTGTCCACTATACCGATTGGCAAGGTAAAGAAATATCTAAAGGCGAATACGAAAGCTACAATGATAATAGGGTTCCACATATGTACGTCAGATCTCCATGTTTGACAGAATGGTGAATAATAGATTCAAAGTAAAAAATGAAACACTCATCAATATCGGCCTTGAACTTGAAGACTCAGGCGGTGGCGGAACAGCTGGTTCCCATCCAAACGAAAAACTTTTCTTCACAGATCTCATGCAAGGTAGAACATACGGTCCAGGCTGGCTTTCACCAATCTTCTACAACACATTGTTAGATACCGGATGGTATGTTCCATCCAAAAACCTCATGGAAGACCTCATTTACTTAGATGACCACATCAATACAAAGATCCACGTAAACGAGTCAATTCTTTTGAAACCACCACAGCATTCTATTCCTCTTCCATACCAATGCCAATCAACCTCTCTCCAGGCTTGCTTCTACGATTACACATGGACAGGCACATGCTCACTTGTTCAATGGAACGATCCAGGAAAAGTTGAACCGGAAGACATGAATAAAAAAGACTGGTACAATCCAAACGGACAATCACTTGTCGGCCAGGATAACATGCTTGATTACGCAAACTTAGTTCTTCCATGGTATTCATGCAGATCAACAGGTGACAATGGTTTGAAGCGTATGGTTGAGTTCGAACCAGACTACAACTACTCCAAGTATGGTGAAGCATTCTTACCGAACTCAACATGCGCAATGTCCACACTTCAACAAGGTTTCACAGGCAGCTTGCTTTCAACATCAAGATGCTACGAAGCATGGTGTGGTACAGATCACAGAGTCAGATTGATTGTCAACGGTGAAGAGTACTACTGCAAGAAAGATGGTCAACAAGCCAAGTTCTCTGGTTTCGCAGGCTCCATTACATGCCCACCTGCCGCTCAAGTCTGCGCAAACAGAAAATTAAAAGAGATATTTGGTGTTACATCTCTCTTCCCAGATCGTGGACCAATCGATGGACAGAACTTAGTCGCCATCGTTGGTAACAATTATGATAATTACCAAAATGTCACAATTACACTCGGTACAGTTCCTTGCGAAATCAAGGTTTACAAGGATAACTACATCCTTTGCAAGCTTCAAAAGCCAGATGATAATACACAGAAGTTAATCAGAGAGAAGTCTAATATATTGAAGCAGACACTTGACACAAACACTGAAAAGAATGAGTACAGAATGTTCAAGGCATTCTACGTTGTAAAGTCTACAAATAATAGAACTAACACTACTTATCCAGATTCATACTACTTCACAAAGAGGAAGTATGACACAGGAATGAAGGACTAAAAGAGTTCAATCTTTTTCAATATTGAAAAAGTTGAATATAATTTTTTTTCTCTAATTATTTAGTATTATATATCGATCTATGCCTTTATTTGGGTGTTTAATGCTTTATTTATTAAGTGCACGAATTGTATTCATCATGAAAAATTTGAAATGTTAAATTCATTTTCCTATCGAGTGGGGGACAAACTCGCCCATTGTCACTTTTCATTAACCTTAAACTTGTAATTTTCATTATTTTAATTAACCTTATTTCTTTCCCAATTCCTGATTTATTTTATTCACTTACTATTAAAGTCACATTTTAATAAAATATAATAATTTATTATTAGCATTTTTACTATACTGTAATAAAAAATTAATTATAATAAATTAAATGTTTATTAATCAAATGTTTTCTTTGCAATAATATTTTAATGTTGAGTAAACAATGTTTGGGATCAAGTGTATCATTTTTCAGACCTTTCTGAACAGCTTCAAGCATACTGATGCATTCGACTTTTTTAAATTGTGTCATTTCTTCGAAATCTCTTGTGACTTTTTTGATAACTTTAACACTTCTCTCTGAATCCAGACCTTTAATTTGCAACTTAATCAGGAATGAAGGAACAACACTGGAATATAACTCGATGACAAGTTCATCGAGTCAAAGATTTCGCCTTTCTGGGAAGTACTGGTGCTTCAAAACCTTGAAATGTGATTCCGAGATGTTGTTTGTTCCATCTCCTTCATTTCTATAGCGAAGCATCCACCTGTCAAGATGATGGCGCCACTGTCGGTCAAAGTATTCACGGGCAGCAGGTTCCTCATTTTAAAATTTCTTCTAAATTGTTTGTAAACTTCATCAGGATCAATTTCTTCCTTTCAGAACCAAAGACCAATAACTTCATTAAGTTATAGAAAGTTTCGAAGTTGGAACGATCTTGAAACTTTTCAGCCTTTCTCATGACAGCGCGCAACACATGAACGCCACACCAAATGATCTGGCATAAAGGGATGGCTGTTTCAACAGCATTTGTGATTTGAGGTGCGCAGTCCATTGAAAAATAAGATGGTTCGCGATTGATGGAGCCAAAATATGCTGTGAGACAAACTTGTATATTTTCACTTGTGTCGGGCCAAACGAAAAAATACAAAAACGGAAAAACAATTGATTCCGCGAATTTGCCAGTGACGGCATAAAATGGTATGCGAGAGCGCAAGAGCTTATAAGTGGAATCAATGTGATAAGTTTGTATTTGATGTGAAAAAGCATTTGCTTCGAATGGGGCGTAATAGAAAATCATACGATCTGGCTCGTGAATAAACTCGATGAGATCATCCGGAGAATGACTCTTAACCATGTCGACAAAAATTGCAAGAGATGTAACATCATCCGCTGAGAAACGGGTATTGATTGCATGAAGGCGTTTAGAAAACTTTTTTAAAGCATCTGTAGATTGTTGAAACATTTCCGGAATGATCCCACTATCAAATGGGATATTAAGATCTTTGAAACACCTTAATTGTGTGTAAACACGGTCTTGATTTGATTCAAAATATCTTGTTAAATAAGATCTATAAAAATATGATGTAATTTGTTGTGATTTGTTTGGAAAAGGGGCAGAATGATTGTGGGTGTTAATACATTTTCGTATGTGGTACTTGTCATCGGGAAGTGTATCAACAAGGAAGCGACATGGACAATTCGGCCACTTACAATTAATTTGGATTTGATTTCTTTCTTTCCTAGTTTTATATGAATAACTACAACCTGCTTGGATTTCTTGTTGCACTCCATACTTAAGCAACTCGATATATGTGAGTTCGTGATCTTGGATCTGCATTAAAATGAAATGATTTGAAAGAATAAAGAATTTTGAATATATTGGTCTTATTTTGATAAGCTTGGTCGTGTTTTGAATAGCTTGGCCATCTAATTCAATTATGATCTTTGAAAATTAGGTGAAATAAAACTAAACATAAATGTAAAACTAGGGATATGAAATTTTGGTTGTACACCACTTGTATGTGCCGGATACCATTGTGTCAAATTTTTTCTGAAATTAACTTTAAAAGTACTAAGTAAGATCATGAGATATAGCAATATATGTTTAAACCAACTTATATTTTGGTTGTACACCACTTGTATGTGCCGGATACCATTGTGTCAAATTTTTTCTGAAATTAACTTTAAAAGTACTAAGTAAGATCATTTATTTTTGCATAATATAATGCCAATATGGTTTCTTTTGATTTTATTTCATTTATAAGCAAATCAGATTTACCCAAAAACTCCACTCCATAAGCGTTCATTTGCTAAATTAAAAAGTGACAATGGGCTAGTCTGTCCCTTTCTCTTTTCCTATCTCTTGATCAAAGATAGTAAGTGAATATAAATAAAATTTATAAATAATATAAATTTGACTTTTTTTTTGAAATAAATAACAAATAAAAAATCTTTGTATTGTTTTTATTCCTTATTTTAGCAAAAAGTATAATTAATATTTTTAGACACTCAAAAACCTCTGATGCGCTTTCAATTTTCTGACGACTACACAAAAATCTAATCAATTATTTTTAATAATGAATAATTATCAAAGGATATTAAAACATAAGCATTTTTATTAAATGCCATAATTCAATTATATTGAAATGCAACTCAATTCAAATTTATCATATGTTCTTACACCTTTTTGCTTCAGCAGTTAACTCACAAGTATTCACATGTATGCATGATATTTACACGAATCAGCAACTTCGTTCAAGTGAACCAGAATCATTGCGAAATCTTCGGGATGAATCAACTTCAACTCCAGAATCAAATCCAAATGAAAATCAATTTAAATGTAATCCAAAACTTCATCCTGCAACATATAATTTGAGAATTGATTTTCGAATGCAAGGAATTGACAATGAAGTAATCAAGAAAACATTCAATTATGTAAACGATTTTCTTAGTAAACGTATTAATGTTACTGATCGTGCAAGAAGTTTAGATGATGATTTTGATCTCGTTATTGATGTAAAGGCTGAATCATTTGAAAAAGGTTCAAATGGCCTTGCATTTGCACGTTCTACATACAATCATCCCACAACTGGCAGACCGACACACATGGGGAAATTACACTTAATTCAAATAAGATACCATTTGAGGCACAAACACTAGAATCGGGTGATAGACAATTCATTTTAACGGTTATTCACGAATTAAATCACATTCTGTCATTCAGTAGCTCGTTATTTAATAAATGGCAACCTTATGGAGAAACAGCCACAATTGTCCACTATACCGATTGGCAAGGTAAAGAAATATCTAAAGGCGAATACGAAAGCTACAATGATAATAGGGTTCCACATATGTACGTCAGATCTCCATGTTTGACAGAATGGGTGAATAATAGATTCAAAGTAAAAAATGAAACACTCATCAATATCGGCCTTGAACTTGAAGACTCAGGCGGTGGCGGAACAGCTGGTTCCCATCCAAACGAAAAACTTTTCTTCACAGATCTCATGCAAGGTAGAACATACGGTCCAGGCTGGCTTTCACCAATCTTCTACAACACATTGTTAGATACCGGATGGTATGTTCCATCCAAAAACCTCATGGAAGACCTCATTTACTTAGATGACCACATCAATACAAAGATCCACGTAAACGAGTCAATTCTTTTGAAACCACCACAGCATTCTATTCCTCTTCCATACCAATGCCAATCAACCTCTCTCCAGGCTTGCTTCTACGATTACACATGGACAGGCACATGCTCACTTGTTCAATGGAACGATCCAGGAAAAGTTGAACCGGAAGACATGAATAAAAAAGACTGGTACAATCCAAACGGACAATCACTTGTCGGCCAGGATAACATGCTTGATTACGCAAACTTAGTTCTTCCATGGTATTCATGCAGATCAACAGGTGACAATGGTTTGAAGCGTATGGTTGAGTTCGAACCAGACTACAACTACTCCAAGTATGGTGAAGCATTCTTACCGAACTCAACATGCGCAATGTCCACACTTCAACAAGGTTTCACAGGCAGCTTGCTTTCAACATCAAGATGCTACGAAGCATGGTGTGGTACAGATCACAGAGTCAGATTGATTGTCAACGGTGAAGAGTACTACTGCAAGAAAGATGGTCAACAAGCCAAGTTCTCTGGTTTCGCAGGCTCCATTACATGCCCACCTGCCGCTCAAGTCTGCGCAAACAGAAAATTAAAAGAGATATTTGGTGTTACATCTCTCTTCCCAGATCGTGGACCAATCGATGGACAGAACTTAGTCGCCATCGTTGGTAACAATTATGATAATTACCAAAATGTCACAATTACACTCGGTACAGTTCCTTGCGAAATCAAGGTTTACAAGGATAACTACATCCTTTGCAAGCTTCAAAAGCCAGATGATAATACACAGAAGTTAATCAGAGAGAAGTCTAATATATTGAAGCAGACACTTGACACAAACACTGAAAAGAATGAGTACAGAATGTTCAAGGCATTCTACGTTGTAAAGTCTACAAATAATAGAACTAACACTACTTATCCAGATTCATACTACTTCACAAAGAGGAAGTATGACACAGGAATGAAGGACTAAAAGAGTTCAATCTTTTTCAATATTGAAAAAGTTGAATATAATTTTTTTTCTCTAATTATTTAGTATTATATATCGATCTATGCCTTTATTTGGGTGTTTAATGCTTTATTTATTAAGTGCACGAATTGTATTCATCATGAAAAATTTGAAATGTTAAATTCATTTTCCTATCGAGTGGGGGACAAACTCGCCCATTGTCACTTTTCATTAACCTTAAACTTGTAATTTTCATTATTTTAATTAACCTTATTTCTTTCCCAATTCCTGATTTATTTTATTCACTTACTATTAAAAGTCACATTTTAATAAAATATAATAATTTATTTATAGCATTTTTTACTATACTGTAATAAAAATTAATTATAATAAATTAAATGTTTATTAAATCAAATGTTTTCTTTGCAATAATATTTTTAATGTTGAGTAAACAATGTTGGGATCAAGTGTATCATTTTTCAGACCTTTCTGAACAGCTTCAAGCATACTGATGCATTCGACTTTTTTAAATTGTGTCATTTCTTCGAAATCTCTTGTGACTTTTTTGATAACTTTAACACTTCTCTCTGAATCCAGACCTTTAATTTGCAACTTAATCAGGAATGAAGGAACAACACTGGAATATAACTCGATGACAAGTTCATCGAGTCAAAGATTTCGCCTTTCTGGGAAGTACTGGTGCTTCAAAACCTTGAAATGTGATTCCGAGATGTTGTTTGTTCCATCTCCTTCATTTCTATAGCGAAGCATCCACCTGTCAAGATGATGGCGCCACTGTCGGTCAAAGTATTCACGGGCAGCAGGTTCCTCATTTAAAATTTCTTCTAAATTGTTGTAAACTTCATCAGGATCAATTTCTTCCTCTTCAGAACCAAAGACCAATAACTTCATTAAGTTATAGAAAGTTTCGAAGTTGGAACGATCTTGAAACTTTTCAGCCTTTCTCATGACAGCGCGCAACACATGAACGCCACACCAAATGATCTGGCATAAAGGGATGGCTGTTTCAACAGCATTTGTGATTTGAGGTGCGCAGTCCATTGAAAAATAAGATGGTTCGCGATTGATGGAGCCAAAATATGCTGTGAGACAAACTTGTATATTTTCACTTGTGTCGGGCCAAACGAAAAAATACAAAAACGGAAAAACAATTGATTCCGCGAATTTGCCAGTGACGGCATAAAATGGTATGCGAGAGCGCAAGAGCTTATAAGTGGAATCAATGTGATAAGTTTGTATTTGATGTGAAAAAGCATTTGCTTCGAATGGGGCGTAATAGAAAATCATACGATCTGGCTCGTGAATAAACTCGATGAGATCATCCGGAGAATGACTCTTAACCATGTCGACAAAAATTGCAAGAGATGTAACATCATCCGCTGAGAAACGGGTATTGATTGCATGAAGGCGTTTAGAAAACTTTTTTAAAGCATCTGTAGATTGTTGAAACATTTCCGGAATGATCCCACTATCAAATGGGATATTAAGATCTTTGAAACACCTTAATTGTGTGTAAACACGGTCTTGATTTGATTCAAAATATCTTGTTAAATAAGATCTATAAAAATATGATGTAATTTGTTGTGATTTGTTTGGAAAAGGGGCAGAATGATTGTGGGTGTTAATACATTTTCGTATGTGGTACTTGTCATCGGGAAGTGTATCAACAAGGAAGCGACATGGACAATTCGGCCACTTACAATTAATTTGGATTTGATTTCTTTCTTTCCTAGTTTTATATGAATAACTACAACCTGCTTGGATTTCTTGTTGCACTCCATACTTAAGCAACTCGATATATGTGAGTTCGTGATCTTGGATCTGCATTAAAATGAAATGATTTGAAAGAATAAAGAATTTTGAATATATTGGTCTTATTTTGATAAGCTTGGTCGTGTTTTGAATAGCTTGGCCATCTAATTCAATTATGATCTTTGAAAATTAGGTGAAATAAAACTAAACATAAATGTAAAACTAGGGATATGAAATTTTGGTTGTACACCACTTGTATGTGCCGGATACCATTGTGTCAAATTTTTTCTGAAATTAACTTTAAAAGTACTAAGTAAGATCATGAGATATAGCAATATATGTTTAAACCAACTTATATTTTGGTTGTACACCACTTGTATGTGCCGGATACCATTGTGTCAAATTTTTTCTGAAATTAACTTTAAAAGTACTAAGTAAGATCATGAGATATAGCAATATATGTTTAAACCAACTTATATTTTGGTTGTACACCACTTGTATGTGCCGGATACCATTGTGTCAAATTTTTTCTGAAATTAACTTTAAAAGTACTAAGTAAGATCATGAGATATAGCAATATATGTTTAAACCAACTTATTTTTGGTTGTACACCACTTGTATGTGCCGGATACCATTGTGTCAAATTTTTTCTGAAATTAACTTTAAAAGTACTAAGTAAGATCATTTATTTTTGCATAATATAATGCCAATATGGTTTCTTTTGATTTTATTTCATTTATAAGCAAATCAGATTTACCCAAAAACTCCACTCCATAAGCGTTCATTTGCTAAATTAAAAAGTGACAATGGGCTAGTCTGTCCCTTTCTCTTTTCCTATCTCTTGATCAAAGATAGTAAGTGAATATAAATAAAATTTATAAATAATATAAATTTGACTTTTTTTTGAAATAAATAACAAATAAAAAATCTTTGTATTGTTTTTATTCCTTATTTTAGCAAAAAGTATAATTAATATTTTTAGACACTCAAAAACCTCTGATGCGCTTTCAATTTTCTGACGACTACACAAAAATCTAATCAATTATTTTTAATAATGAATAATTATCAAAGGATATTAAAACATAAGCATTTTTATTAAATGCCATAATTCAATTATATTGAAATGCAACTCAATTCAAATTTATCATATGTTCTTACACCTTTTTGCTTCAGCAGTTAACTCACAAGTATTCACATGTATGCATGATATTTACACGAATCAGCAACTTCGTTCAAGTGAACCAGAATCATTGCGAAATCTTCGGGATGAATCAACTTCAACTCCAGAATCAAATCCAAATGAAAATCAATTTAAATGTAATCCAAAACTTCATCCTGCAACATATAATTTGAGAATTGATTTTCGAATGCAAGGAATTGACAATGAAGTAATCAAGAAAACATTCAATTATGTAAACGATTTTCTTAGTAAACGTATTAATGTTACTGATCGTGCAAGAAGTTTAGATGATGATTTTGATCTCGTTATTGATGTAAAGGCTGAATCATTTGAAAAAGGTTCAAATGGCCTTGCATTTGCACGTTCTACATACAATCATCCCACAACTGGCAGACCGACACATGGGGAAATTACACTTAATTCAAATAAGATACCATTTGAGGCACAAACACTAGAATCGGGTGATAGACAATTCATTTTAACGGTTATTCACGAATTAAATCACATTCTGTCATTCAGTAGCTCGTTATTTAATAAATGGCAACCTTATGGAGAAACAGCCACAATTGTCCACTATACCGATTGGCAAGGTAAAGAAATATCTAAAGGCGAATACGAAAGCTACAATGATAATAGGGTTCCACATATGTACGTCAGATCTCCATGTTTGACAGAATGGGTGAATAATAGATTCAAAGTAAAAAATGAAACACTCATCAATATCGGCCTTGAACTTGAAGACTCAGGCGGTGGCGGAACAGCTGGTTCCCATCCAAACGAAAAACTTTTCTTCACAGATCTCATGCAAGGTAGAACATACGGTCCAGGCTGGCTTTCACCAATCTTCTACAACACATTGTTAGATACCGGATGGTATGTTCCATCCAAAAACCTCATGGAAGACCTCATTTACTTAGATGACCACATCAATACAAAGATCCACGTAAACGAGTCAATTCTTTTGAAACCACCACAGCATTCTATTCCTCTTCCATACCAATGCCAATCAACCTCTCTCCAGGCTTGCTTCTACGATTACACATGGACAGGCACATGCTCACTTGTTCAATGGAACGATCCAGGAAAAGTTGAACCGGAAGACATGAATAAAAAAGACTGGTACAATCCAAACGGACAATCACTTGTCGGCCAGGATAACATGCTTGATTACGCAAACTTAGTTCTTCCATGGTATTCATGCAGATCAACAGGTGACAATGGTTTGAAGCGTATGGTTGAGTTCGAACCAGACTACAACTACTCCAAGTATGGTGAAGCATTCTTACCGAACTCAACATGCGCAATGTCCACACTTCAACAAGGTTTCACAGGCAGCTTGCTTTCAACATCAAGATGCTACGAAGCATGGTGTGGTACAGATCACAGAGTCAGATTGATTGTCAACGGTGAAGAGTACTACTGCAAGAAAGATGGTCAACAAGCCAAGTTCTCTGGTTTCGCAGGCTCCATTACATGCCCACCTGCCGCTCAAGTCTGCGCAAACAGAAAATTAAAAGAGATATTTGGTGTTACATCTCTCTTCCCAGATCGTGGACCAATCGATGGACAGAACTTAGTCGCCATCGTTGGTAACAATTATGATAATTACCAAAATGTCACAATTACACTCGGTACAGTTCCTTGCGAAATCAAGGTTTACAAGGATAACTACATCCTTTGCAAGCTTCAAAAGCCAGATGATAATACACAGAAGTTAATCAGAGAGAAGTCTAATATATTGAAGCAGACACTTGACACAAACACTGAAAAGAATGAGTACAGAATGTTCAAGGCATTCTACGTTGTAAAGTCTACAAATAATAGAACTAACACTACTTATCCAGATTCATACTACTTCACAAAGAGGAAGTATGACACAGGAATGAAGGACTAAAAGAGTTCAATCTTTTTCAATATTGAAAAAGTTGAATATAATTTTTTTTCTCTAATTATTTAGTATTATATATCGATCTATGCCTTTATTTGGGTGTTTAATGCTTTATTTATTAAGTGCACGAATTGTATTCATCATGAAAAATTTGAAATGTTAAATTCATTTTCCTATCGAGTGGGGGACAAACTCGCCCATTGTCACTTTTCATTAACCTTAAACTTGTAATTTTCATTATTTTAATTAACCTTATTTCTTTCCCAATTCCTGATTTATTTTATTCACTTACTATTAAAAGTCACATTTTAATAAAATATAATAATTTATTTATAGCATTTTTTACTATACTGTAATAAAAAATTAATTATAATAAATTAAATGTTTATTAAATCAAATGTTTTCTTTGCAATAATATTTTTAATGTTGAGTAAACAATGTTGGGATCAAGTGTATCATTTTTCAGACCTTTCTGAACAGCTTCAAGCATACTGATGCATTCGACTTTTTTAAATTGTGTCATTTCTTCGAAATCTCTTGTGACTTTTTTGATAACTTTAACACTTCTCTCTGAATCCAGACCTTTAATTTGCAACTTAATCAGGAATGAAGGAACAACACTGGAATATAACTCGATGACAAGTTCATCGAGTCAAAGATTTCGCCTTTCTGGGAAGTACTGGTGCTTCAAAACCTTGAAATGTGATTCCGAGATGTTGTTTGTTCCATCTCCTTCATTTCTATAGCGAAGCATCCACCTGTCAAGATGATGGCGCCACTGTCGGTCAAAGTATTCACGGGCAGCAGGTTCCTCATTTAAAATTTCTTCTAAATTGTTGTAAACTTCATCAGGATCAATTTCTTCCTCTTCAGAACCAAAGACCAATAACTTCATTAAGTTATAGAAAGTTTCGAAGTTGGAACGATCTTGAAACTTTTCAGCCTTTCTCATGACAGCGCGCAACACATGAACGCCACACCAAATGATCTGGCATAAAGGGATGGCTGTTTCAACAGCATTTGTGATTTGAGGTGCGCAGTCCATTGAAAAATAAGATGGTTCGCGATTGATGGAGCCAAAATATGCTGTGAGACAAACTTGTATATTTTCACTTGTGTCGGGCCAAACGAAAAAATACAAAAACGGAAAAACAATTGATTCCGCGAATTTGCCAGTGACGGCATAAAATGGTATGCGAGAGCGCAAGAGCTTATAAGTGGAATCAATGTGATAAGTTTGTATTTGATGTGAAAAAGCATTTGCTTCGAATGGGGCGTAATAGAAAATCATACGATCTGGCTCGTGAATAAACTCGATGAGATCATCCGGAGAATGACTCTTAACCATGTCGACAAAAATTGCAAGAGATGTAACATCATCCGCTGAGAAACGGGTATTGATTGCATGAAGGCGTTTAGAAAACTTTTTTAAAGCATCTGTAGATTGTTGAAACATTTCCGGAATGATCCCACTATCAAATGGGATATTAAGATCTTTGAAACACCTTAATTGTGTGTAAACACGGTCTTGATTTGATTCAAAATATCTTGTTAAATAAGATCTATAAAAATATGATGTAATTTGTTGTGATTTGTTTGGAAAAGGGGCAGAATGATTGTGGGTGTTAATACATTTTCGTATGTGGTACTTGTCATCGGGAAGTGTATCAACAAGGAAGCGACATGGACAATTCGGCCACTTACAATTAATTTGGATTTGATTTCTTTCTTTCCTAGTTTTATATGAATAACTACAACCTGCTTGGATTTCTTGTTGCACTCCATACTTAAGCAACTCGATATATGTGAGTTCGTGATCTTGGATCTGCATTAAAATGAAATGATTTGAAAGAATAAAGAATTTTGAATATATTGGTCTTATTTTGATAAGCTTGGTCGTGTTTTGAATAGCTTGGCCATCTAATTCAATTATGATCTTTGAAAATTAGGTGAAATAAAACTAAACATAAATGTAAAACTAGGGATATGAAATTTTGGTTGTACACCACTTGTATGTGCCGGATACCATTGTGTCAAATTTTTTCTGAAATTAACTTTAAAAGTACTAAGTAAGATCATGAGATATAGCAATATATGTTTAAACCAACTTATATTTTGGTTGTACACCACTTGTATGTGCCGGATACCATTGTGTCAAATTTTTTCTGAAATTAACTTTAAAAGTACTAAGTAAGATCATTTATTTTTGCATAATATAATGCCAATATGGTTTCTTTTGATTTTATTTCATTTATAAGCAAATCAGATTTACCCAAAAACTCCACTCCATAAGCGTTCATTTGCTAAATTAAAAAGTGACAATGGGCTAGTCTGTCCCTTTCTCTTTTCCTATCTCTTGATCAAAGATAGTAAGTGAATATAAATAAAATTTATAAATAATATAAATTTGACTTTTTTTTTGAAATAAATAACAAATAAAAAATC